ATATGTTAAGGTGAGAAATTGTTCAGTTTATCAACTTGTAAAGAATTATTAACATTTATTAGTTTTAATTACTACAGGGTTATTATCGAAAAGCAGTGGCAAATATGGCATTATGCAGATTTAAAGACGCACTTCAGGATTTTCGAATTGTGAGACTTTGTTTGAAACAACCCTAGAACCTTGAATACTCTTACAATTATGATTATTCATGGTAATCCGAAGCCTGTCCATTTTGACAGGTTGCGAAAAAAAATCCGGGCGACAAAGATGTAAGCGCAAAATTAACGGAATGCAAGAAGATTGTGAAACAAATTGAATTTGAAAAAGCCATTGAGGTATGCATTTTATATTAATGTGAATATTGTCTAAATTAATCACTGCAGCTTTTGCGTTTGTTTTTTTTATCTCTTTAAACAAAAAGACTGAAATACGAATTGATCATTTAGGTAGATTCGCACCAGAAAAACATTGCTGAAACAATGGATGTAGATGCGATCGGTGAGTTTTAATAAAGAATATTTAAACCAATTGCTATATTAACAAAATTTGTTACTTTGAACCATATGAAAAGTTGTGGATCCTTCTTACAGTGGACCAAAACTTGCGGATGGACAGATCACAAAAGAATTTATTGCAGATATGATGGAATGTTTCAGAATTCAAAAAAAGATTCATCGCAAATACGCATTCCAGGTATGTAAATAAAATGCCCTTTGTTAATAAAGCATCTCATCCTTGCAATGTGAGAATTAATGAAAGGTTTGATACAGATAATTTTAGCCGTACGGAAGATGATGTTACAAACGCCATCGTTGGTGGACATCAACATACCTCAAAATTGCAGATTAACTGTGTGCGGAGATGTTCATGGTTGGTATTATATTGATTTATTAAATTTTTTTGGAACATTAGGGTTATTAAACATACCTCTCCATAGGTCAATTCTATGATTTTCTCAATATTTTCAAGATCAATGGCTTGCCATCCGAAGAGAACATGTATCTTTTCAATGGTGATTTTGTTGATCGTGGATCATTTAGCATTGAGGTTATACTGACTTTGTTCGCTTTTAAATGGCTTTACCCAACATCTGTCTACTTGACGAGAGGCAACCATGAAACGGATGATATGAACAAGGTTTATGGATTCGAAGGGGAGGTTAAGGCTAAATATTCTGAACAAATGTTTGAATTATTTTCTGAAACATTTACTACCCTTCCGCTTGCACATCTTATCAACAAAAAAATTTTGGTAGTTCATGGTGGATTATTCAGTAGAGATGATGTTACACTAGATGAGATTAGAAAGATCGATAGGATTGGCAAGAAACAACCTGAACATGGAAGTTTAATGTGTGAACTATTGTGGTCTGGTAGGTAATTAAAATATGGGGTAAGTTAATAGAAATCATGCAAATTTTTTTATAATTAAACCTAACCAAAAATAACATGAACTTAACCAAATTTGATAAAAATTTTTTTATAAACTTATAAAATTAAAATTTTATTATCAAATTTGAAAGTTTTTATTGAATTCAAGTTTAAAAAAAATTACTACAAAAATTTGCTTGGTTTCCATTGACTCGCCCTCATATATTATTGCGAAAAGTTTTGGTATGTTAATAAGATTAATAAATTTCATGGCGTTCGTCTAATTCAGATCCGCAACTACTCCCGGGACGTGGTCCAAGTAAACGAGGCGTAGGAATACAATTTGGACCTGATATCACCGAGAATTTTCTTAAGCGTAATAATATTGGTGCGTTTTAAATTATACCTGCAAAATTTTGTTAGTAATATTCTTAGCTGCTAAACTCTTGTTGATTGCAAACTTAGATTTACTAATAAGAAGTCATGAGGTCAAAGAAAACGGTTATGTGGTCGAACATAATGGCAAATGTATTACTGTATTCTCCGCGCCAAATTACTGGTAATGAGACTTATATTATATAAATTTTTTATTCCAAAATTAAATTAATCTTTTATCCATATTAGTGATACCATTGGAAACAAAGGTGCGCTAATTAACATTACGCCAGACCTACAATTAAGCTATCAGACATTTGAAGCTGTGGTAAGGGTTTTTTTTTTTTTTTTCATTAATTCCACTGAATCGTGTGATTAAAGGGCTTTGGTTGACCGCCCCATCCTAATGTTCGACCTATGGCTTATGCATCTCAATTTGGTGGTTTATTTACATAATATTACCCATAAGCATTATTTGACTAATGTATTTTGGAAAAATGGCTAATTTTTTGGCCGCACATGAATTTTATTTCGTATATTAAAATCTTAAAAAGTTATTTCATGCATATGTATAATGCAATTTTATAATGGAAAATTTAGTAACGGATAGTAGTATAAACCTTTTTTTTTTTAGTTTTTAACTAGTGCAATTTGTGATTGTTAGAAATAATTGTACTAGAGGTTTAATAACATGAAAACTTTATTAAAGCCAATTAGAGATTTTTAGCAATTCATTACAATGCAAGATACTACCGCTAACTCATCTGCCATCGTGGATAAAGTGTAAGATCCGGCGTTAAAGCACAATAACTATAAAACTACTTTATCGTTCAAACAATAAACAGAATACAACTCGACGCATAACCAATTTACTCCTAGACGAAACGTTTAACAATAATCAAAAGGAATTTGACAACCTACCTTTCTGATAAGTTGTTAATGCCTAATAATTAGATTTACTTTTAACAATACTTAAATCTATAAAAATCTGCACCCAACATTAACTCAATCCGCACAACAAATATGGCTCAAAATGACAAAAGAATGATTACAAAACTCGCCTCATACGATTAAGCTGATCCAATCCGGCGTTGATACTCACCGAAATGATCAATTCGTATTTCAGTCTTTTTGTTTAAAGAGATAAAAAAAACAAACGCAAAAGCTGCAGTGATTAATTT